ATACCAAATTTACTTGGAGGCCGTCGTCACTCGTGGTGTTCGGTCTGTAGTTGGCGCGCTTCTGGCTTCATGAAATAGAGAGTACTTTGGTGCGCCCACTACAGGCGGTATTCAGTAGCGGTAATGCTCATAGCACTCATAGGTGGCCCAAAGCAAATTCAGATGTTCATGAGTGGATGTATATTCAGAGAATGTGTATATATTTTGAATATTTCAGAGCGCCAACCCCGATCTCGAAGATCTGCCAATTCATGGGACCACTATGTTGAGGTGAGCTAATCCTGTAAACAAATCTCTCATTTAAGCCACCCGAGCTTCCACTTATAACGTAGATCCTCGGCAAATTTCAGTCTCACAGTTTTCGTTCAGGTCCTGGTTGTGGCGGATTCGAAAATGCACGAATACCATGGATATAATCTCGAAGCTTACATTCTTACTTTGTTTTCAACTGTGAGTTGTTTTGATGTTCCCTTCGATTTTTCTGTCTTCGCACGAATTCTCGCCATTCCAAACCTTTTTTACGTCCGTTTCAGGTAGCGTCAATCTATCGACACCAGTCACTACGAGCATCAATCAATGTGGTCGTTGTAAAAATTATTATCCTTAAACATGAAAACGTAAGATTTAATAGTCATACATAAACGAGAGCGATTATCACGCACAGAGCGCAGTGACATATTTCGCGATAATTCTTTTTATCTGATTGTTCATGGCAAAAAAAGAAAGCGAAAAATGAAACGAACTGACATTTCGAAGGGCTTGGAAATCTTTACTGAATCCCAGAATATTCGACTATTCTGTGAGCCACGTTATTTAGAGTTATGAAATGGTGTAATGTATAGAATGAACACAAACAATTCTGGAAAGGTCGCGCAAGCGCGAAAAGAAAGATCGATATGTGTGAGACGCGCAGGCGCGTCACAATGTCCCCTGTGGCCTACAAAGTACGACGCATTTGTGCACGGCTGTCCATCTGTGGGAGGATTTTCGTCAAACTTTCGGTGCACGCGGTACTTACCGTACGCGGCAAAGCTCGTGATCCCGTCTTTACTGCAGACACTGCTTTGCTGCAAATCTAGAGTAACCACAATCCAAACATTTCATCATTTCCAAATGTACGACTGAAATTATATGATATCCAAGCCTGCAATAATGCCGCTCAGGCTGGTCCACACGTCACATCGAATGCCCAAGACACACTACAGCAGTTTTGTCGTTGGCAGCAGCTGTACAACGACCGCGACGACGACAGCCCAAACCATCACGACGTAGCCATTCTACTGACCCGAGGCGACATTTGCAGGTTAGCATTTGGCCAAGATTTATTCCATATATTTAGGAAGTCATTTTATGCACCGTTATACTG